CAATATGGAATAGATTCAGGGGAGTATTGTGAAAATATTTCATTTATTGACCAAAATGCTTTTATTTAGGCTATAAACGATTGTGTTTCAGGGAAAGATGCGGGGTACAGCACATTCCACATCAATATGAAGCTATATTATATAAAGACTTAAGTGTTGTAGAGATATGTTTAGATTTTTTTAATAATAATCGTCCCTCCTCTACATTCACAGCCGGATTTCCTTTCCAGAGGTGCACGAGTCCACGGGGAGTAGAACTGTATGATAACTAAGTAATAAGGTTTAGTTTTTTTTATTATAGTTTTTTACTATTGTATATTATATTTCATTGTTATGTAAATAAAATGCATATTAATTATAATTATTTATTTTAATTATTACAAATGTGACACATAAATTTGAATATAATTAATTATAAAGAAATTTATGTTAAATTATTACTAAGTATATTAAATTTTGAATATTCGAAAAATAATTTTGGATTGTAAATTGTATGCTTTAACAGTAGATTTCAGAGCACTACCTAGGTACTAAACTAATGAAAAATAAAGTTTTTTAATTTTAATTAAATTTGTAAGACACGTTAGTAATTTTATTTACCACTGCATCACTATCATAATCATTAACTTCAACGATAAAGTCGTGAGGGGCAATTGACATTATTTCCAAGTCCTCAGGAGAAGGTGATGGTGGTTTTCCGCAACCCCCTGTCTTCAATTGTTCCCTCCTATATGTATATAAGTTAGATTTAGCACACAACTTCATTCTTTTCCAAGATAATTTCAATTCACCAACTGATCGGCGTTTACGTGTTATCTCATTAAATCTAAAAAAAAAGAATACAAAATCACGTAAACAATACCTATTTATACACATAACAAATGCGATAAGTATTTACTTATTAGTTATATTCTTCCACTCTTTTATTTTTTGAATATTTACCGATGTTTTCGTCGACTTATTATCTATAATATGTGCTGATTGTGAAATAAGTGTACGTAATATTTCCTATAATAATAAGAACATTCTTTTTAGTCCAAATAAGGATAATAGGAGGATAAGAGCATTGCTACGTACTGACAAATAAATTTCGATATTTCAATAACTTTTTCTTCAGAACTCCAATTTTCTTCCCGTTTTTTCTTTTGTTCCATTATTATATAAATATAAGCTGTAACTGTAATAGCAAGTACTTATTTAATAAATTATTAATAATTTTATTTACGATTTTTTTATAACGCTGCAATATAAACTATTTTGAACGTCTCGAATCCCGCGCTCGCGTTACCTCTGTAATTCACTACATTTAACACTAGAATTGTTAAAAAATGAGAACAGCTTGATATAATCAAAAGCGCGTCAAAAGTATATGTCGTGCTTGTTCAATAAATTTTAACGTAAACTAATAACAATGTATGATATGTTTTTGTATTGATGGATAATTATTTAAGCATAATTAAGTGTGAAAATAATATTAATATTTAATGAAACCGAACGTTGCATTGAATGAAACCTGTATGAACGAATGAAAGAGTGTCATTTTTTGTTTTTTATCTGTGAATGATATTTAATATAATACTAACGTTGGTATTAACTGGTCCTCAGGTAGTCTGCGTTTTGTAATAAGCATACGTTTTAGTGCTGGTATTAACTAGAATATTGTAACAAACCTGGACTTCTTAATCCTAAACCTAACCCAGTACTAAAACATTTTTTTGAAATAAGACCGTTTAGGTTTTAAATCATAAATTGCTCTTGTGGCCCTCTTCTGTAAAACAAATATAATTTCAGTATCAGCTGCGTGTCTCAATAGTAAAATACCATACGACATTATGCTATGGAAATAGCTAAAGTAAACTAGTCTAGCTGTTTCAAAACTGGTAAGACTTCTAATCTTTTTTACAGCATATGCTGCAGAATTAAGTCTGCTTGCTAGTTTTGATATATGGGGGCTCCATTGAAGCTTCGCGTCTAGTATGATTCCAAGAAAAATGGGGGTATGTACAAGGCTCAGTTGTTTCCCATTTAAAATTACATTAGTATTTAATTGTTTATCATTTGGAGCCATGAATTTCATACATTTTGTTTTCGTACCATTTAAATGCAAATTATTAACATTGAACCAATTTACTAATTTAGATATAGCATTATTTACTTCGTCATATTTTAGTAATTGTCGACTTAATTTGAAAATTATAGATGTGTCATCTGCAAATAATACTATATCATGGTTATGCCCTACTATGTAAGGTCAGTCATTAATGTATACAAGAAACAGAAAGGGGCCGAGAATTGTGCCATGAGGCACGCCCATTTGTACCATACACCATGAAGAGCTCATACTGTTAATGACAACTTTTTGCGTTCTCTTACTTAAATATGAAATAATTAATTTAAGAGCATCACTTCTTACACCGTAGTGTTGAAGTTTCCTGTTAATGTTACATGGTGAACACAATCGAATATTGAGGATAAATGTAAATATCTATACACAGAACAGTTGAACACTGACCTTTCTCTATTAATTTTTATATGTTGGATTCTATATTATAGTGTTAGGTTAACTCGACCGGGGCAGGACCACGCTCTCACAGAATACCAGCGTAAACCTTGTAAATCTATGTTTTGTATGGTGTAGACAACCGGAGACCCTTTTTACTGAAAACGAGGCAATTCAAGGTGTTGACAGTTCTTTGAGACATTGGGCTATTCCATTTACTTATGTTATTTATTGGAATTCTATCCAAACATCCACTACTCCTGCAACCATCGACTTTCTGCATTTCTTACCAGATCGTCACTCCATCTATTGAGGTGCCACCACACACTTCGCTTACTGGCACGAGGCCTCCACTCGAGAACCGGCCAACCAATTGGCATTTCAGCTTACTAATCTGTTGGGCTATGTTGGTTACTCTGGTTCAACTGCGGATATCCTTATTTCTCATTCTATCGCAGAGAAACCTCGAACATAGGCCTATCTATAACTCGCTGAGCAATTTCGAGCTTCCTCATACGGCCTGCAGTGAAGGACCATATATCTCAGATCAATAACTTATCAATGGTAACACACATTGCTTGTACAATCTTGTTTTCAAGTTTTGTTCACATCTGTTTCATACCCGATGAGAAAATGTGTCGTAATCTCAGGACTGTGCTTTGTTTAATGGTGATTCACTACTCTCACGCCTGTTTCCCGCATAGGCAGATACTACGGATTTCCGTTGGCACTATCCGGACTAACCCCTCTCGCTTCTTTTGCATCCATGTATCTACGGACAGACGCTCGTCGGTTAAGGGTGATCTTAATTATTTTGTCCATTTTCATTATATCACCAAGCTGATCGATACACCAGTAAATAATTGTAATAAATTAATTTCTTGTATTGAAAAATTATCAATCAAAGAAAACAAGTCTTACAAAAGTCTGTTAACTTTTGTAAGTCTGTTGACTTTTGTAAGAATTTGATGTTTCAAACAACAGCAAGCAATAATTAATGAATAAATAGAATTAGACGTAACTTTGTAAAAATTCTTTCAAATTTAACTTGCTTCGATTCTGGTACAAAAGTTAAATTTGTATTTATTTCATACTTAAAACAGGTCGTATTACATTGACACAAAATATTCTTTTTGAATTTCTGAGACATGAAGGTTTTTTTAACTTACTATACGCCAGAGCTTGACTACAATACCAGCCGGTGGTAAGTGGTGATGAAGCCCTAAATGGTAAATCGCACAGTCTTATCGTAAAAAAGCATGTACACTCCTGTCTTGAAGACGCCCAAATCGTATTCAAATAAGGCAAATCTAAGGTTTTTCGCCATGTCTCACTTCAACTTTAAGCACATGGTAAATTTGCACCTACAACTGTGACTAATATTTTATAGGTGCCGGTGAGGGTTGAACTCGGTTTTCTCATAAAATGAAGTCACAAACGAACGTACAGACCACCTGATTATAAGTACTGCAGTTCATAGAAACCTGCAGCTAACTGTAAACAAAGGAGTTCATCCGTAACCTTCTTTTATTTTAATTACAATCGGTTTAGCAATAAAAAAATTAGCAGACTAACAGACAGACAAAATTTTTCAAAATAATAATTTATGTCTTAAGGGCATGCAAATAACCCCATTAACCTAATGTATTTCGATATAATAGACAGACATTTCACTTTTATTTATAGGTATATGTTCCATTCAAAATCGAATTTCAATTCCGTCTAAAGCTACGTTTAAACCACATGAGTAAAGAAACCGTACCATATTTACTCATGTGGTTCAAACATCACACTGAAGCATTCCGCGCAGTGTTCCAAGCGACGTGTGCAATCAGACTGTGAGCCCGGCGATGCGTGATCAGGTCTGCACCTGCGTTTAGTAAAGCCTTTTTTTATAAATGTTTCTCGAGTATACAGTCCGCACCCTTGACCATTAGGTTACTGTTGCTTCTATATATGCCGCCAAATAGCAATGCTTACATTACTGTGTTATGATCTGAGGGATACCCTGTACAATCTTTAATTTGAAATTACAGATTGTGAGGCTTTCCATCTCAGAACTCAGAGGTGACAACACATCTGTAATTTTTGTTTGAAGTTAGTCACAGTTATACATGCACCGCAGTAGGCACTTACCGTCTGGTGAACTATAAGTTCTTTTATCACTTCCATTTTTAAAAAATCATACTATTTTTACGTGGTAGAGCCATGCTGCATCTATATTAACCCGCGAGTAGTCGCGCATGGGTCGAAAAGACCCAGTACCTTGTTTCTTGTTCCATAACTTTTTAAATGTTGGTTACTATTCAAGGTCGCGCTCAGTACCTTTAAGCTACAATATAGGCTACCCGCACGCCCCACCTCACTCAGTTCACGCGCGGCGTTTGGACAGCACGAACGTATAAAGTGAGTATGGGTCGTTTCGACCCTTACGCGACGGTTTGTGTAAGTGTATTATTTTTCTTTAAAAATATTTTTAGTTTATTTTTTCTTTGCAGAAATGTCGCGTAATATTTTGGACGATCACATAATTCAAGAAATTCTAGAGGAAGATGGTATTGAAGGAGAAGTCTCTTCAGAAATTGAAGATAACTTAGAGATCGACGATGACGACTCAAATTCCAGTCAAAGCGGCGATGATGATAATTCTGAGGCCGAAGATTTTTCAGCAGGTAATATTTCTGCCGAAATGTTACACAGAAGACCTGATCTCAGTGATGTGCCTCTGAGTTATATCCGTCAAGGATACTATGTGGGTAGAAATGGCTCCACTAACTGGAGTATTGAGGAACCCCCTAGAAATGTTCGTACTCGTAGCCACAACATTATATTACATGCGCCGGGACCGATTAATGAGGCAAAAGATGCACTTACGCCTTTGGACTGCTGGAGTCTTATGTTCCCTGACAGTCTTTTAGACATGGTTGTGACATATACCAATATGTATATTGACAGTATCCACGATAACTTCCAAAGAGAAAGAGACTGCTTACCTACGGATTTGGTAGAATTGAAGGCTCTACTTGGGCTTCTTTATTACTGTGGAAAACTTCGTGGAGCGCATTTGAACACCATGGATTTATGGGCAACTGACGGCACTGGATCAGACGTGTGCATAGCTACCATGTCACGACAAAGATTTCATTTTTTACTTCGTTGCCTTAGGTTTGATGATCCAAATACACGCGAACAGAGGAGACAAAATGATAAACTGGCTGCAATTAGAGATTTATTTACCAAATTCGTTGAAATTATAAAGAAACATTACTCTTTAGGGGATACAGTGACTATTGATGAAAAACTGGAGCCATTTCGTGGTCGTTGTCCATTTCGCCAGTACATGCCGAAGAAGCCTGCCAAATACGGAATAAAAATATTTGTAATGGCTGACTCAAGAACTTACTATTCGGCATGTTTAGAAGTATACACCGGAAGGCAAAATTCAGGACCACATGCTGTAAGTAACTCTCCTCCAGATGTCGTGAAACGTTTGGTTGAGCAAATAAGAGGGTCTCATCGTAACGTGTTAATGGATAATTGGTTCACGAGTATCCCATTAATGACAGAGTTGTATGAAGATTATGAGCTTACGGTTGTAGGGACTCTTCGTAAAAATAAACCAGAAATACCCCCATGCTTTGTTGCTACACGAAGACGAGAAGAATGGACTACCTACTTTGGCTTTAAGCCTAATTGTACATTAGTATCGTACTCACCAAGAAAGGGAAAAGTGGTGCTTCTTGCTTCTACAATGCATCATGATGCGAAAATAGATGTTGATACAGGAGATAAACGCAAGCCAGAAGTGATAACGGATTATAATATGCATAAATGTGGAGTGGACGTGGTTGACGAGATGTGTGGTACATATTCTGTATCAAGAGTAAGTAAAAGATGGCCACTAACGATATTTTTTGGACTTATGAATGTGGGATGTATAAATGCGTTTGTTATTTATAACGCAAATATAACGCATATAAATCAAGAACCCCTCGAAAGACGTAACTTTTTAAAAGACATAGCTTTATCCCTTGTTAAACCACAAATAGAAAAGAGATCTTCTATTACGACTCTGCCCAGACACATTCGGAGCAGAATGTTTCAAGTACTTGGCAGAGAAGAAAGTACAGATCAAACTGCATCGGCTGGGCCTAGTAACATTCGTGGGAGGTGTTCCACCTGCCCCCCTAAAAAGGATAGAAAATCCAAAACTCAATGCCAAATATGTAAATCTTTCGTATGTAGAGATCACACCGCATTTTTATGCATTAATTGTAATCAGAAAATGAGTCAAAAGTAAGATAAGACGGCAAGAAGACTAATTAGAAAACAAATAAGAAATATTTTGAGAAAGATTTTTATGAGAAGTTTGAAAGCTGATTATAAAAAAAAATGTTATGTTAAATGTTTTATTTTATTGATTGTTTTAGAAGAAAATTTAGTAGTTTTTGTAAGAATAATGTTTTTTTTTTCAGTTATACTAGAATAAAAAAGTTAGACTGTGATTCTGGTTCCTATGCATAAAAAAGTAAGATTTAGCACTTAACTCTTTGCTATTGTGATAAAAATAAAAAATAAATCAAAATATATAAATATTTGTGACTCATTATTGTTTTAGTTACCCTTTTCTTTTACGTTTATATTAAAAAAATATAATTCCCTTTATTGGCATAGAATAATGCATTTATCTTTGGGGTCTTTTAGACCCTCACGCGACCGCTTATGTCACAAAATGAGACGCGAGTACCGGCGGGTTAAAACAATAGTTGTAGCACGAATGGGTCGGCTCGACCGGGGAAGGACCACGCTCTCACAAAATCATCATCATCATCATCATCATTACAGCCCTTCACAAGTCCACTGCTGAACATAGGCCTCCCCCAAAGAATGCCACAAAGCACGGTCCTGAGCCACCTGCATCCATCGACTTCCTGCATGTCTTACCAGGTCGTCACTCCATCGCGTGGGGGGACGCCCTACACTTCGCCTACCGGTACGAGGCTGCCACTCGAGAACCTTTCTTCCCCATCGGTTGTCGGTTCTTCGAGCTATATGGCCGGCCCACTGCCACTTCAGCTTACTAATCCGTTGGGCTATGTCGGTTACTCTGGTTCTACTGCGGATATCCTCATTCCTAAGTTTATCACGCAGAGAAACTCCGAGCATAGCCCTCTCCATAGCCCGCTGAGCGACCTTGAGCTTCCTCATACGGCCAGCAGTGAAGGACCACGTCTCAGTTCCATAAGTCATTACTGGCAACACGCACTGGTTGTACAATTTCGTTTTCAGGTTTTGAGGTATGTCTGACGAGAAGATGTGTCGTAGCTTCCCGAACGCTGCCCAGCCGAGTTGAATCCGTCGATTGACCTCTCGGTCGAAGTTGGACTTACCTAGTCGGACTATTTGTCCCAGGTAAACATACTCGTCAACAACTTCGAGCTTAGTGTTCCCAACAACTACCGGCATAGGTGTGACATGGACATTAAACATGATCTCACAAAATACCTCCGTAAAATAGCAGCTTAGTGCTGCTGTGTTTCGTATGGTGAGTGTAGAGAACCGGAGACCCTTTTTACTGGAAAAGAGGCATTCTATCTTAGTCCTCACGACTGACAACGCATCTGCATTTTAATTCGCAAATGAAGATAAATGCAGATGTCTATGGGCCACAGCAACCACTTACGATCAGGTAGACTGTGTGCTCGTTTGTCACCCTAATTCTATAAAAAAAAAATACTAGAATCCTACAAAGGGCACAAATTGTCTGCAACCGTATTATGTACCTATGTAATTATGTGAAATTTTATACCTTTGTGAAGAGGAAATAAAAATGATTTATTATTATTATTATTATACTACGATTCTAGGCAGACATTTTTTGGATAAACAGTCACGCCAACGATCAATTAAGTAAGGGGAAACATGTTTTGTTTTGGTTCGTTAACACATACTTGTTATTATTTATTAACCGTAACAGTTCATTAGTAGGCTTTCACAAAGGTCAATTAGTGATTGGATTCTTCGCTGTGTAGTGGCAGTGTAAGTAAAATTCACTACCCCATACACCCACTACCTGCCTACCAAGCGTTGCAACTATGCCGAACAATAATGTCGTCCAGACCGAATGTCTATTAAGATGACCTGCCTCATCTGAGTCTAACCATCTGCGCAGGGGAGGATTATAGTGCTCGAGTATATGGTGCACAGGTACACTCTCTAAGCTCTTGCTCTGATAGTCCAATCGGACGATAATCTAACACGACAGAAACAAAGTGTTTACTTGCTTCCCGAAGCATGGGGGTAAAATACTGTCGACTGCCTTACTCTGGGCTGCTACTGAGAATTTCTTGACTGAAAACCTCGATAACTGATTGTGGTCCGACGCGAAATTCGAATCCGGGACCTCATAATCCTTGTATGATCTTGAGTTAGCTTGTCAAATTCCTTAGTTCACTCAAAAGGGCCAAAAGTGCAACCAAAAATAATAAAATAAATTCCCCTTCTATTATATTTTCCATATTAACTACATATTAACATAGCTGTAGAGGCGTTTTACATCGTCTTTCTCCTATACGCTGTTTCTCTCTTTTTCCTTTTATCCGACTGCGATGAAGCTTTGCTGAATTGTTGTGCGAACGCCGGCAGAAGTTTCTAACTAAAAAATGCAATGCAATACGTGCTGAGTAGTTTCTTTTAAAATAAAATAAAGTAAAATCATATTTAAATAGTTTTCTTTATTTTATTTTTAAATACAAATGTTGATACTAGGATTTTCTTCTGTATTGGAGAGTCGTCTTACATATACACACACATGGAAAAAACATTCAAACCATGTTACCACTATGGGTAGACTACTGCAGTACCGCGTCTTCAAAATATAACATAACCATCGTTATCACTATTACAGCCTTACCGTAATGTCTTACCAGGCCGTTTAGTAAGGGACCACCCTACACTTTGATCACAGGCACGAGGCGAAAACCCTTCTTCATATAGGAAAGAAGTGGGGATGAGGAAGAAAATGCGTCACAATATAATATGCATGATATTTTTCTAATATGCATCCTGTCTTTATGCAAAAATACAAGCTGTCTCATATAAATGTTTAACACTCGTTTTATTCGCGGTGACAGGACAGCGCCCCGGCTGTACGTGTTAGCACGAACTCTACGTGACTCTCGTACCGTTGTTTGCAACTCAGTAAGGAGAATAAAAAAACTATATGTTATATACGGGACCTTTATTACTGTATTTAATTTATGCAGGGTTACCCGCTTCAACCTCGCCTTGTAGGATCTATATATATAAAATATAACCTAGATTTTTTTTCCGTGGTAGAGCCATGTTGCAGCTATATTAGTAGTATAGTTGTAGCACGAATGTGTCGGCTCGTCCGGGGTAGGACCACGCTCTCACAGAATACCAGCGTAAAATAGCAGCTTAACACTAATGTGTTTCGTATGGTGAGTGTAGAGAACTGAGGACCCTTTTTACTGGAAGAGAGGCATTCCATCTTAGTCCTCGCGGGTAACAACGCATCTGCATTTTGATTCGTAATCGAGGATAGATGTAGATGTCTATGGGCCACAGCAACCACTTACTATCAGGTGGACTGTGTGCTCGTTTGTCACCCTATCCTATAAAAAAAAGATTACTCATTGCATTGCTCTCTATTTGTTTATCAAAGAAAAAAAATTATCACAATCGGTTCAGCCATTCCGAATATTAACACGAATAGACATACACAGACATAAGTTTTAAAATGGCTATTCGTGTCTTAATATTACGCAAGGAGCTCCCTCAGCTCAATAAAAATCAGTTATTTCGATATTACAGACCAATGACAATAACGTAGTAGATTTATATCTCTTTGTTACAGACATACAGTTCAATTTTAATGGATGGATGTATGATCATCCATTTTAGCCTAAAAAATTCTACTGCTGATCCATAGGCTTGCCACATAGATTGCCTCATAAGAGAGATTTTACTATAGTTGGCACGCTTGGCAGCCGGGTTGGCAACCGCAGTTTTTATTATTTTAGAGTTGTTAGCAGGAAGATGCTCGCCCAAGAATATGTGAAAATTAACTAAAAATATTGCAAGGTGTTCCCCTAAACCTTATACTTGAAAACGGAATTATGACCACAGACCTCAATAAGCTATGCAATATCTGTAATAGTTTCTTCACCAGTATATAATTGTACCAATTATCAAACGAATTATCAGACCTGACATGACATGTCCATCAACTGTTTAGATTTCCCCCTGTAACCACGGGAAGATATGAAGTTTTATTTATATGTATAGATATATAGATATGACAGCACACATTTCAGTCGCCAAATAGCAGTACTTGCACAGCTGTGTTCCGTTCGGAGGAACAAAGAGGGCAATATATTTAAGTTTGTTTATTTTAAACTATGGAATAGTTTAAAAAAAATTACAGCAACACACATGTCATGGAAAAAGAGGACTACAAGATCATTGAACGGTGCTAGATGCTAGTAAAGTCAACAATTAGCAAGTCATTTTTATTCTCATTACACTAACTAGTATACATGGAGGAATTCTTAATACACATACTTATATATTATTAGGACTTAATAGTTGCATGAAAGCATAAACTATTATTTTTAGAATAAGGGAATCAAAAGAGCAGAAGTTCACCTGGTAGTAAGTGGATACTGTGGCCATAGACATCTACATTTATCCTTGATTAAGAATCAAAATACAGATCTGTTGTCACACCTAAAGACTAAGATAGAATGCCTCGTTTCATGTGATAAGAGTATCCAGTTCTCTATACATACCATACGATATTAAGCACTAAGCTGCTATTTTACTCTGGTATTCTGTGAGAGCGTGATCCTACCCCGGTCGAGCCAACCCATCTTTTTAATTAATTCATACTATAAAAGTTCACTGCTGAACATTATTCTTCCCTATAGATACTGCCACATATGGGGGGATTTTGCCATAGTTGCCAAGCTTATCAGAAGTGGGCTATCAAGAGCAGTTTCGGTAATTTAAAGTTATTATCAGGCAGGTGTTGCTGCTCATCTTCTGTTTCTAACGACTCCCACAGGAAGATATTGGTTAGTGGATATTCTTACATCGCCACTACACAATACAATACTACATACACGATTAAAACAAGATAATTACTAAGAAGTCAGTTTTTATTTTTAATACTTCTATATTGTTCAGATTGTTCAGATTGTTATGTATGAGATGCCGCTTTAAAGCCCTGATATTTTTATACTTTTTGTTGATACTGCCCTATATAAAACTTCTACA